CAAGTGGTTTAATCCACTTTCAGTTACAACCTACATTCCAAGTACGTAACTCAGAAACTCAAATAGCAGAACATGAAGTTTGTTTTTAATTTGCTACAGAGTACATGCACTTGCTAGAGAGACAGAGAGAGAGAGAGAGAGAAAGTGAGAAATCATCCCCCAGGGGAGATGGCCACCTGCAATTCCTTCTCAGTTCTCTCGTGATTTTGGGCACGCACGCATGTGCCTGGCGTGTTTCTGAAGCCACCAGGTCTAAGACTTGAACAGCACCATAAGCCTTGTGGGATTCAGCCCCCTTAACTACCACACTACCAGATGACCCATATAGCTTGTTTTAATTCTTTTTTCTATTTTATTCCATTTTATTTGCTATTATTATTTATTTTTTAATTTGACCAGAGAGAGAGAGAGAGAAAGAGAAAGTGAGAAAGCAAGCTGCCAGGTCTGGGACTCAAACTGTGATCATCCATGTGGGAGTCCAGAGCCTTAACTACCATGCTACCTGCCAGCCCCCAGTTTTAATTCTAAAATGATTATGATAAGAACTGATGACTAGTCTGGGACCCCTGTTTTTTGTTTTTTGTTTTTGTTTTTTTCCCAGAGGTTTTTGCTATAGGGTGTGTGCGCTCACTAAAAAGACAGAGACACACACACAAAGAGAGAAATCACCCCCCAGGGGGGATGGCCCTGCTGCAATCCCTTCTTCTCCAGTCTCCTCTCAGGATCTTGGGCACGCACGCACATGTGCCTGGCGTGAGTTTAAGCCTCCGGGTTTGGGACTCAGACTGTGGTCGACTATATGGGAATCCAGCGACATAGCCATTACACAAACTGCTGGTCCCCCCCTGTTTCTTCAAAGGGAAAACAATGTCGCACAGGCTGTCCCATGAAGACCTGGGTCTTCTTTCCAGGTTTTCATTTTGAGGGTTGGGTTCACATTTCTCCATTCTTTCACAGGATCTAGGGCTGAGTTTCTTTCTTTTCTTCTTTTATCTTTAAATAATTATTTAATTTTATTTATCTTTATTATTATTTTTTAATTTGCTATAGGACATATGTGTGCTCTCACCAGAGAGAGAGAAAATGAGATAGCAAGTTGCCAGGTCTGGGACTCAAGCCATAGTCAGCCATGTGAGAGTCCTGCGCCTTAACCATCAAGCCACCTGCTGGCCCCTCTTTCATTTCTTTTTTTTAGCTTATTTATTCAGTCCTTCCAAGACCAAGAGAGAGAGAGAAACAGTGCCCCCAACAGGGTTCTGAGGTAGCCATCTACCGCCCCCCCCCCCCGCACCCCTCCCACCCCGCCACCGTCGTCATGGCCACATGCAAGCCCAGTGCTTTCACAGAGATGTTCAGAAACAAACTCAGAACCTTCCAACGTGGGGATCAGCAGATGGCATAATGGTTACATTGCTGGACTCCATGAAATCAACTGCAGTTCGAGTCCTGGACCTGGCAGCTTAAAACTCACACCAGGTGTGTGTGCATGCACACCCAAAATCCCAAGAGGAAAATGGAAAAGGGATTGTGGCATGGCCATTCCCCGGTCTCTGGTGAGTGCATGCGCCCTGTAGCAAACATCTCTCTCTTAAAAGAGAATCTTCCAACGTGGGTCAGCTTGCAGAGCATCATGGTTTACTGCTGCACCATGCGGCTCCAGAGGGCTGACTTTCTAGAGGAAAGATGGAAAGGAAGTAGAGGGAAACAGACTGTTGTCTTTACAGAGGAAACGTTCCCATCCTTTCAGCACTCTTTGCTCTCTACGATACCCACATAAATCCCGTATTCCCACTCTGAGAATCTGGATAAAAAATAACAGCAGGTGACCAGCAGGTGACATGGTGGTTGGGATACTGGACTCCCACATGGCAGACTGTGATTCAAGTCCTGGACCCAGGAGCATGTTTTCACTCCCCTCATCCTCTGCCCACCTCCCTGAAGACTACAGCAAGTTAAAATAATAATAATAGGGACCAACATAATGGTTACATCACTGGACTCCCACATAGTCAACCGCAGTTCGAGTCCCAGATCTGGCAACTTAAAACTCACACCGGGTGCATGTGCGTGTGTGCCTTAAATCTCTAGAGGAGAATGGAGAAGGGATTGCAGCATGATCATCCTCCCTAGTGAGTGATTTCTCACCTTTTGTCTCTCTGTCTCTCTTTGTCTCTCTGGCAAGCACATTCACCCTTTGGCAAAAATGTCTCTTAAAAAGTAATAAAATAGGGGCCAGCAGGTGGCGTGGTGGTTAAGGGTGCTGGACTCCCATATAGCCAGCTGTGGTTCAAGTCCTGGACCTGGCAGCTTGCTTTCTCGCTTTCCCTCTCTCTCTTTCTCTGTCTCTCTCTGATCGAACAGGAACATAATAATAATAAATGAAGGTAAATAGAATAATTCTTTAAAATAAACCAATAAATAAAATAATAAATTAAATTTAAACATTGTTATAAAACATAAATAAAATAACCCCAGAGTTGTTGGCATAGCCACAGACACGGCACTTACTTGCATTTGCATGTATTTGTATACACTCAGAAGTAAACATGAACAATGAACTAAGCAGTGATTGCAGTCAGCCCCAGTATCACAAGCCGGTATACAGGAAGCCATTGGTGGAACCACAGGGCAGGAAAGCAGACCAGTGGTGCAGCCCTGCCTAGCTACTGCTCTGGGCCCTCCTCGAAGTGAGTACTCCATGCCTCAGAGACCTACTGTCTTCCCTGATCTTTCTGTCTTCCCAATTCTTGCTTATTCCTCCTTCAGGTCCAGGGAAGACTATGGCTCACTGACTCACTGTCTAAGCCCTTGAGGATCCTCAGGCTGTAGAGAGCTCCCCAGCCTCGGAAGAAGAGGGAACCCACAGGACACGTATGGCTTCAGCAGCGCCCTCTGCCCCCTCAGGAGAATCCACACAGCAACTGGAATGGGGCAGACCTGCAGGGGCAGGGCAGCAGCATGGAGCCTTGGAAGGAACTCTCCAGGAGGACAGACAGAGGGGCTGACCTGGGGGAAAGGGGAACTTGGCTCCCATCCATTACACCTGCTTTTAAAGTCCCCATCAAAGTTTCATGCTGTTTACTTCCAAGGTCTGCAGGGTCCTTTGTTCTCTGGCCATTGCTGACCAGCCTGGCTCCCAAACAAAGCCAGACAGATTATTCTAAAGTTTTGATTTTCACCAGCTCTCAGCATCTAATGAGCTGTCACTCAGAGCTTTGCCCCAAGATTCAGGCGGTGCCTGAAAGTGGAAGGGGACAGTGTTTGGCAGCATTTATAGGAAGTGGGAGGGGACAGTCTGTTTAGCAGCATTAATAGCTGGGCCTTGAGCCTGAGTCTTGCTGGGTTAGCAGAAAGTCTGGACTGCCCTAACCTCTGGCCTTAATTCCACTCTCCAGGAGCTCTTTAGCCTTTGGGTTACTGGGTCTCCTGAAGGGCAGAGCCCCGACGTAGGCACAGTCTCTGGATTCTACATGTCCCTCAGGCCAGAGCCAGTCACCCTCTACTGGAAGACACTGCAACAGCCACTGCCTACCCTAAGACGCTGAGAGGTCAGGAGGTGGAGTGGTGGTTAAGGCACTGGACTCCCACGTAGCCAATTGTGGTTTGAGGCCCAGACCCAGTGGCTTGAAAGTCACATTGGGCATAAGTGCCAGTGTACCCAAAATCCCAAGAGGAGAATGGAGGAGAAGGGATTGTGAAATGTCATCCCCCTGGGGGATGATTTCTCACTTTCTTTCTCTCCATATTTCTCCAGTGAGTGCACATACTCTATGGCCAAAAAAAAAAAAGCAGCTGGGAGCAAGGTATGGTGTGGTGGTTAAGACACTGGATCCCACATGATCAACTGCACGGTTCAAGTCCCAGATCCAGCGGCTTGAGAAACAAACTGGGCGAGTATTCGTGCATGCCCAAAGTTCCTAGAGGAGACTGGAGAAGAGGCTGTGGTGTGGCCATCCCCCCGGGGGCGATTTCTTATTTTCCTTCTCTTTCTCTGTCTCTCCAGCAAGCACATGCACCCTATAGAAAATTGAAAAATAATTAATAAGGATATAAAATATTTGACCACTTTCAACCAGCCTAACCTATTTGATATTTATTGATCACTATGTCAGGGCCAGCAAGTGGCACAGTGGTTAAAGTGCTGGACTCCCACATGGCTGACTGCAGTTTGAATCCCAGACCTGGCAGTTTAAAACACTGGGTGTGCATCACACTCTCTATGACAAAAACCTTTTTAAAAAAATGTATGCAGTACATATTGATCACTATGCCAACAACTGCAGAAAGTATATATATATATTTTTTTTTGGAAAGGTTTTTGCTATAGGGCACCTGAGCTCACCAGACAAACAGAGAGAGACAGAGAGACAGAAAACGAGAAATCACCCCCCAGGGGGGATGGTCACGCCGCAATCCCTTCTCCTCCATTCTCCTCTCGGGATGTTGGGCACACACGCACACGTGCCCGGTGTGAGTTTAAGCCACCTGGTCCGGGACTCAAACCACAGTCGACTACATGGGAGTCCCGTGACACAGCCATTACGCTAACTGCTGGTCCTAATATTCTTTTTAGGGGCCAGCAGGAGGCATAGTGGTTATGTTGCTGGACTCCCACATCAGACCATGTTGGAGTCCCAGACCCAGTGACTTAAATATCACTCCGGGCATGTGTGTGCGTGCCAAGATCCCAGGAAGAGAATGGAGGAGAAGGGATTGCAATGTGGCCATCCCTACAGGGGGGCGATTCTCACTTTCCCTCTCACTGTCTCTCTTGCTCTATCTGGCGAGCACAAACACCCTATTGCAAAAACCTCTAAAGAAAATATATTCTTTGCTTTTTTATTTTTTAAAGAATTATTTTGGGCAAACAAGGTCATGAGTCATGTGACGGCAGCTTGCAGAGGAACCTGTCTTTGAAGCTGTCCCTGAAGCGGCATTGGGAGGAACCGGGAAGCTCAGAAACCCAGGTGTGGAGCTCAATCTACAGAAGGAAATTCCTCATGGCAGATGACCTAAAGCGACTCCTGTATAAAAAGTTGCCTAGTGTTGAAGGGCTCCATGTTATCGTTGTCGTGTCAGATCGAGATAGAGTACCTGTTATTAAAGTGGCCAACAGCAATGCTCCAGAGCATGTGTTATGGCCTGGCTTCTTGTCTACTTTTGCCCTCGCAACAGACCTAGGGAGCAAACTGGGACTTTCAAAGAACAAAAGTATCATCTGTTACTATAACACCTACCAGGTGGTTCAATTCACAGTATCCATGTCCTACTGAGAGGCCTCTCTCTCCAATCCCTCCTTTTCCAAAGCTTTGCATTTTTGTCGTCACCTTTTCTTTTCTTAAATTGCCAGAAGGCATGTGCACTTGCCAGAGACAGAGAAAGGGAGAGAAAGAAAGTACTCCCAGTGGGACTTGGCCATGCTGCAACCCTTTCTCTCCCGTCTCTCCAGCCTTTCAGGAATTTGAGCACGCACATACATACACCGGGCTCGCTTCTCAAGCCACAGGGGCCAGGATTCAAACTATGCAGTCAGTCATGTGCTCCCTCAACCACCAAGTCACAGAGTGCACCTGGTTCAATTAAATCGCTTACCTTTGGTGGTGAGTTTCATAGCCAGCAGCAATGCCAATACGGGACTTACTGTCAGCCTAGAAAAGAACTTGCTCCATTATTTGAAGGCTTGAAACCAGTCGCGGAAGTTTCTTAATCTGACAGTGATTTCGACGTGGACCTTATCTGCATCATAACAGCCCAGTATCAATCCAGCGATCTTTAGACCACAGGACTACTTGTATCCCTGTCCTCGAGAACGGACACCTCAACTAGAGAAAGAGCCTGTGGATAAGTTAGATCACTTGTCACAGCTCCTCGCATGTGGTCCCTTTATATTTAGTGAGATCTGAAGATGCCTCAGAAACGGTTCAGTCAGGGACCAGCAGTTGGCGTAATGGCTATGTCGCTGGATTCCCATGTAGTCGACCACGGTTCGAGTCCCGGACCCGGTGGCTTAAACTCACTCCGTGTGCATGTGTGCCCAAGATCCTGAGAGGAGAATGGAGGAGAGGGGATTGTGGCATGGCCATCCCCCCTGGGGGGTGATTTCTTGCTTTCTGTCTCTCTGTCTCTCTGGCCAGCACACACACCCTATAGCAAAAACCTCTCAAAAAAAAGAAAGGAAGAAAAGAAAAAGAAACGGCTCAGTCTGTCACAGCTCTGGGTGAGATGCCGCTCCGTGGATCACAATCAGAACGGTATGCTTCGGAACCAGCAGTTAGCTGGACTCTCATGTAGTCGATAGCGGTTTGCATCCCGGACCCGGTGGCTTAAAACTCACGCCGGGCACGTGTGCGTGTGTGCCCAAGATCCCGAGAGGAGAATGGAGGAGAAGGGATTGCGGCGTGACCATCCCCTCTGGGGGGTGATTTGTCGCTTTCTGTCTCTCTGTCTCTCTCTGTCTGTCTGGCGAGCGCACGCGCCCTATAGCGAAAACCTCTCCAAAAAAAAACAAAGAACGGTACGCTGGTCCGCACGAGCCGTTGCCTGCTCCCCGTGTAAAATACCCACGCCTGCCGGATGCAGCGTCCTTTCTTATTGTGAATAATAACAAAGACATATTTTTCTTCAGATTATGTTTTATTTTGTTGCCTTGAGTGTGAGGGAGATAAAATGGCTTAGTAAAAATAATAAAAATCGGTGCAATCACTAACTTGCCTTTGTATATATTATTTTGCAGTGTAGATGAATATTACTAATAGATCTGATGCTTCTCAGAGGGTGCTGTTCTTTAATAAAAATGAAAATTAGAGCTAACCCCTCACTGTGCTTTCTAGAACCAACCTGTTTTAATGTTTGTGTTCTTTATAAAATTTAAATATGACTTGTTATTGAATTCTGTCTCCAATATCAGTATGTAAACATGATAGTATATAGTCATTTTTTCACATACGAGTACAAATAAAATAGTATTTAAAAAAAGAATTATTTTGTTTAACTTTACTTACTTATTATAATTTGACCAGAGAGGGATAGAGTTAAAGAGAGTGAGAGGGAAAGTGAGAAAGCAAGCCGCCAGGTCCAGGACTCAAACTGCAGTGGAAGTCCAACACCCTTAACCGCCACACCGCCTGCCAGACCCGAAAGTATATTCCTTTCAAATGTATATAGGACTTTACTCAAAACATGCTGGACCCCTAACACCCAGACATGCTCCTACCTCGGGACCTGCATACTTGCTAGTCTCTCTACCTTGAATAATTTCCCCTCAGCTATCTACATGGCTTATTTCCTCAGCATCTTCATGTCTTTACAGAAATGTGACCTTCTCAGAGGGGCTTTCCCTGATTATATTCACTTGTTACGTTAACTCCTTCCCAGAGCGACTCCCTGTTTGTTTCTGTAGCTTCTGAGGAACCGGCTATCTTTGGAGTGCCAGGTCTGGGATGTGCTCACTCTTTCTCGGCTTGAGCCTGAGGCCTGAGATCTCTGAAAGGGAACAGCTCCAACACTGCCGCTTGTCACAAGCAGTAACAAAACCAGGTGCCAGATGCCTTATCAGGACCCTTTCTGCCTGCCAGAAAGCCACAGCTGGTGTGGAATGCATAATGATGGCTCAGGTGTCCTGAGGACATACAGCCAGGAGGGCCGGAGGGTGACAGTGGAGAAGATGGCTGATGGACGAGGGCTGGGAAGGGGCAGAGAAGGAACCACTATTAGTGTAAATCATCTTGCTCTCACACATGAACTAAATAAAACCAAAGTGCCAGCTTAGGTTATAAACTCTCTTCCTGTGCTGAAGATCCCCCCTACTACTGCAGGCCGCTGGCCCGCTAAGTCACCTGCATCTGTCCCTTCCACTGCTGGCACCTACTCATCGGGACAGAAGATGAGAAGGCTGGGATCAAACCGATGCCCAAGGCTTACGTGCCAGGCCCTGTCCTCCCAAGTAACGGTAACTGAGTATGAGCTGGGAAGAGGTGTATTAAAGCCACAGAGCCTCTATCTTGAGGACTTTATAGTTTAACAGGGATAATGAAAACTGACCCACGTGGGGCTGGCAGGTGGTGTGGTGGTTAAGGGCGCTGGACTCCCACATGGCTGACTGTGGTTCAAGTCCTGGACCTGGCAGCTTGCTTTCTCCCTTTTCCTCTCTCTCTCTCTCCCTCTGTTGCTCTCTGGTCACATTTAAATAAATAACAGTTACATTAAAAAAAAAAAAAAAACCTGAGACATGTCATTTCAAAAGCACGCTGCTTCTAGCCGTCTGCATTGCCTTTAACCACACCCACTTCCCTGGCTCGCCTGAACACATGACGAGCACTGAGCTTAGTACCCGCGACAGCGCTGCCCAGACTTCAATAAACTGCCTGGAGATCTTGTCATAGTGCCAACCTCACTTTGATTAGCCAGGCTGTTAGAGATTAAAAAATGACCAAGACAAGGTCCCTGTCTTTGTTTTGCTTAAAATCCAGACAATATAGCATGAGGGAGATGGTAGAAGTAGAAGCACATGGAAGGACAGCAGAGACAGGACTTCACTGGTTTCAATCAAAAAGTGCACGATCTGGACCAGCAGTTGGCATAATGGCTATGTCACTGGACTCCCATGTAGTCGACTGCCGTTCGAGTCCCGGACCCTGTGGCTTAGACTCACACCAGGCACATGTGTGTGCGTGCCTAAGATCCCGAGAGGAGAATGGAGGAGAAGGGATTGCGATGTGGCCATCCCCCCTTGGGGGTGATTTCTTGCTTTCAGTCTCTTTCTGTCTATGTCTCTATCTGTGTGTCTCTTTCTGGCAAATTCACGTGCCCTATAGCAAAAACCTCTCAAAAAAAAAAGTACATGATCTTGATATATTTCAGTCCTCAGTCACTCGACAGATTGAGTGACTAGGGGCATTTAGCAAGAGAGAGACCTGTGGGGAACACAAAAACTCAGAGAAGTGTAGATGAAGCCAGCACTCTTACGACCTGTGAGAATATACTACTCGGCCTTTTCCCCTCGCGATTCTGCTGAAAATTACCGGAAGGCCAGCGAGTCAGTCTTGGCATGGCCAATGTGGATTTTTTTCCTTAAAAGAATGATTTATTTTGGGGCCAGCAGGTGGCGTGGTACTTAAGGGCACTGGACTCCCACACAGCTGATGACAGTTCCATCCTGAACTTGGTGACTTTCACTTTCACTCTCTCTCATTTTTTCCCTCTCTGATCAAGTTCAAATAAATAAGGAAATTGGGGCCAGCAGTTAGTGTAATGGCTATGTCGCTGTACTCCCATGTAGTTGACTGCGGTTCGAGTCCCGTACCCGGTGGCTTAAACTCATACCAGGCACGTTTGCAGGTGTGCCCAAGATCCCAAGAGGAGAATGGATGAGAAGGGACTGCGGCATGGCCATCCCCCCTGGGAGGTGATTTCTCGCTTTCTGTCTCTCTGTCTCTCTCTGCCTTTCTGGTGAGCGCGTGTGCCCTATAGCAAAAACCTCTCCAAAAATAAAATAAAATAAATAAGGAAATAAATAAATTAAATTAAATAATTATTTTTTAATTATTTATTTTAGGGGCCAGCAGGTGGTTAAGGGTGCTGGATTCCCTCATGGCCAACCATGGTTTGAGTCCTCAACTTGGTGGATTGCTTTCTCACTTTCCCTCTCTCTTCCTCTCTCTCACTGTCCCTCTCTGGTCAAAATATAAAAAAATTTAAAAAATTAAAAACCAGTAAATAAATTAAGTTAAATAAAATAATTCTTAAAAAATATTATTTATTTTAGAGCTGGCCGATGGTGTGGTGGTTAAGGTCGCTGAACTCCCATGTGGACAACTATGGTTTGAGTCCCAGAACTTGCGGCCTGCTTTCTCACTTTTCCTCTTTCTTTCTTTCTCTCACTCTGTCCCTCTCTGGTCAAATTTAAATAAATAAATAGATAGATAGATAAAGTTAAATAAAATAATTCAAAAAAAGAATGATTTATTAAACTCTATTATTATTATTTTAAAATTTGCTATAGGGCACGTGCACTCACCAGAGAGACAGAGACAAAGAGAGAAAGAGAAGCTGAGAAAGTAAACCACCAGGTCTGGGACTTGAACTGCAGTCAATCTTATGGGAGTCTAGAACCTTAACCACCAATGCTACCTGCTGGCTCTCAATGTGGATGTTTTATTGGAGGCAAAGAAAACCCAGGGGCTAGCGCTGTAGACTACTGGTTAAGGGAGTGGTACCCCGCATGGCCGACAGAGGTTTGAATTCCGGCTCCACGCACCAGGCAGGTGTGTGTAGGCATGCCCTACGTGCATTTATGGAGAAACGGTAAGAAAGGATTGCGTGTGACCACACCCCTTCGGGGGTACTTTCTCCCTCTTCTCTGTCTCTTTCACTCTCTGGTGAGTGCATACATCCTCCCCTGAAAGGAAGGAAGACAGGCTGGTCAGAACTGGCCATGGGGCGCCTCAGTGGAACAAGCCAGAAAAAAACCAGCAGAGGGAGGTTCATGAGGAGCGGTAAAGAGGCGGGCCCTTCTCAGAAAGGGCAATGCGAGTATAGAGGGCAGGCGGCGAGTGGGAGCAGGACTTACTGTTAGTCTTGAAACCCTATTGTTTCTCTTCTTTTCGAAAATGTGTTATAGGGTGTGTGCACTTGCTAGAAAGAGACACAGCGAGAAAGTTAAAAGGCACCCCCCGGGGGGATGGCC